TTTATTTTATATAATTTATATAATTTTTAAAGTCTTGTATAGACAAAATAGTGCTGTTATGGTTATCTTTTTTGTATCTTTTTTTTCTTTTTTTTCTGTTTTTTTACTTTGTTTTTGTTTTCATTTAGTTTAGTACTTTCTTTCTTTTTTATTCCTTTTATTTTGTAAATTCCTTATTATTTATTGATAAAATTTTTTTACTTAGAAGGCTAGAAAAAAAAGATTAAAAAAAAAGATGATTATAACAGATTAGTAAACCAGGTTAGTGATCCAAAGTAATTTTATCTGAGATAAACCAAATCTAACTAGTGAAACTAAAATTACTTTTGATAGATTACATATAGATGTTTTTATAGTAATTAGATAAGCTATATTTCTATAGTATATAGATATTTCTATAATATAAAAATTTTATTTTTAGACTAAATTTAATATCAATAAAGTATTAGAATTATAATATAATTGTTAAAAAAAAAAAAATTTTTTTTAAATATTTTTTAAAAATATAACTAATAAAAACTATTATTTTTTATTAATAATAACTAAATTATTAATTAAATTTTTAAAAAAGATTATAAATTAAAATTATAATTATTTAAAGCTATATATATATATATTTTACCCAATTAGAATTAATATATAATATATCTAATTAGCTAAAAAGCATTTATATATATTTCAAATTTGGTATATTTGATATAAAATAACTTGGTATATTATAGCAAACTTTACAAAAAGCTACTATTTTTTAATTATAAATTTTTTTTAATTGATATAGCTTTTTAAATACAAAAAAATTTTAAAAAATTTTTTGTATATTTAATAGCTTTTTGTTTAAACTATTAAATTTTCACTCTTTTATATAAGGTAAAACTATTAGCAATACTATTAGCTATTTTTACATTCTTTTAAAACTTAATCATTGATATCTTTACTAATTTACAATTTGTTATCTTTAAATACAACAACCTTCTAGCTTTATTACTTCACTTTTTGAAATAATTTAAATTCAATACCTAGCCTATCTAGTATATACTTCTTAATATCTTTAAAGTTTTTAATATCCAACTTTCTTTTTACAAATTCCAAGCCCACTTTGACAATCTTTTTAACAATTTTGCAGATTTACTTGCAAATAACTATTCTATCTCACCAACTTTACAATTTAACTATATTAATCTTTATAACTTTTTTTCTATTTTGCAATAGAACAAAAACTTTATCAAAAGCTCTACTAAACAATTTATTAAATCAATCTGCAATACTTAAAATATTTCTTTATAGTTCTTACAACATCATGCTTATAAATAGTTTCACATTTTCTATTTAATTGACTAGAGTATTTTCTGGCTATATTTTAACAATAATTAAAAAGTATCATACAATTTTACTAATCCCAAACTAAACTATCTAAAATTTTTTAAAATTAAAATATTTTTTAATATCTTTCTAATATATATATATTAGTGATACAAATTAAAAATTGAAAAATTAATTAGTTGGCTTAGTTAACAACTAATCAATTAAAAAATTTTTGTCAACTTATATTAAAATTAAATAAAAATCAAACAAAAATTAAATAAAAATCAAATAATTGTTTAGTTGACAACTAATTGATTGCAAAATTTTTGATGATTTGTATTACTAATATATATCTTTATTCTATTTATCTTTTTATATTTATATTTTTTAATTGCTTTTTATATAATTATTTTGACACTCCTCTTACTAGTATTCTTGCTCTAACAATATTCTTGTAATTCAAACTATCAATAGTTCAATATACAATATTGATTTTAATACTAATCTTAACCTCTCAATATATTAATTAAACAATCTAATATATACTATTGCTTTATACCTCTTCTTTAATTCTTCTTTATTGCAGCAATATTTTTACTTTTTTTACTCTATACTTAAAGGTCTCATATCTATTGCTTTAATCCAATTATTGAAAACTTTTAAAATTTTTTATTTCCAAGTCTTTTAACTTATTATTAAGATACTTCTAAAAATCTTTAAACAATTTTATAACAATATTTGGATTCTATACTGCTTTAACTTCTCTCACTGAAAAAGAACCTAACAAATCTTATTACAAATTAATACCACATCTCACATATCTTTACTCTTCAAAAATCACAGAAGCAAAATTACTTATACTTATAGCTGCCTTTGCAACTTTGCTAACCAACAACATTCTGATTCTAATACTAGCCCCCCACTTGGACAAGCCTTTCTTAAATACAATATTTGGTTCACCTTGTGAATCAAATATAGTACACCTATTAACCATATTTTAACTATCCAAATCTAGATAAGTCTTGACCACTTTAGTAGGTTTAGGTCGCAGATAAATTAGTTTGAGCTTCTATTCTTGCATGTAATTTATATTTATTTGTTTGTATACAAATTAAATTTTTATATAGCTTTTATGTAATTACTTATATAAATTATTTAATAAAGATATGAGCAAGACTTTATCTTAATACCAAAAAAAAAATAAATAAATAAATAAATAAATTTTTAAACAATTCTTTTGTTTTTAAAAATTATATTGGTTTAAATTTATATATAGTTTAAAATTTTGCCGCTTAATCGTATATATAAAAAAATATAACAAAATTTGAATTTAGTAACAATTTAAATTTTATTAATAAAATTTAAATTCTAAAAAATTGGCATATATACAAAATTGTATTAAAAACTCAAATAAATTATAAAAGTTGCTATCAAATTGTATTTTTGTGATGAATAATATATAATAATTATAATCAAAATACAGTAAAAAATATTGTTTTTAAATATTCTTTTATTCATTGTTTAATAATTGTTAGTTATTTCAATTTATACGTATAATACGTACAGTACAAAAAGTTGTGTAATACAGTACGTACGTCGCATTTTTCTAAATGAAATCTCTTTTTAGTAATTAATATGGAAAGGTTTTTTTAAAAAAATTGTAACCATAAAGTATACCTTTTAGTAAGTGTATATACATATATGAAAATGATTATACTTTATAGTACAATGGCATACAGTATTTGTTTTTGCCATGTCGAACACAGGTTATTATGATAGTCTTAACTTAAAACATAGTTACTATTATAATTTAATACTAGCACTATTCGTATTACCACAATCTGATTTGTTAAAAGCATTAAGGTTTTTTGGTCATATAAAATTTACACTAAACGTTATAGTTTTTATCACATGCAATGAAAACAAGAAAAAAAAAGGCTAAACTTAAAATTTTAACGTTAAAGGTAACCTATTTGAAAAAATGTATATAGCCAAATATATATTAGTTATTTGTTTTAATATAACTTAAGAATGTCACACTTTAAAAGCCAAACAATTGATAACGAATATAATTTAAGTAACAGTAAAAAATGAAATTACGTAGGAAATTTTTTTTTTTTTATTCAGTCTTTATCGTTATTGGGAATTGTAACATCAGACAATGCAAAATAGATAAATAAATATTAATTGATTAAATTATTTTGTTTTTCTAATAGAAAAACCCTCTTGTGTAGTGAAACATTTGAAATGTGAGCAAATTGGTTAAAAGTGCATCCAATTTAGTAAATTTATGACATCGATATTGAAACATTCAACATAGGTGCACAGACTCCGAGTCAGTCTCGGCGTAACTCATACCGAACAGGGAAGTGTTCAGATGTTTGACTGACCTCTTATTAATATGAGCCAGTTAAAAAATTTAACGGTACATTCAAAAGACAAATTAGGCCTATTCAAAGTGACATTTTTGCCACTCATTGAAATAGTATTATCGTCACTCGTTATATAACAAATAATATATGGATATTAGATAGAACAAAGCCACTAAAAAAAAGTAATAATGTGCAGAGACAAAAATCACATTACCTATATTGGTTTGGTTTTCACAATATCAGATTATTATTATTTTACCTCCTTTTCCTACATATGTGCGTTATTCATTTTACTTAATGCAATATTTATATTATTATATCAGTTATCCGCACCTTTTGGTTCTCACACCGCGTGACCAATAAATAATTTTCAGCATCGTTATACCATAATTAGGTGTTAATCATAATGTTACGTCGTGTACTTTGAACAAACCTGATAACAGGATACCATCATACAGGTTTAATTAAATTGGTATTTATCGCTATATGTTTTTTTTGTACATACGTACGTACAGTACGTAAATATACATAATACGTACTGTACTTAAAAGTTTTTTTTTTTTTTTTTTTTCTTTTTTCCTTTATGCAAGGAATTTTAAATATTGCGTAACCTTGAGAAGTTGGTTGAAAGTTGTACATGTGATACGACAAAAATCTAAGGTGGAATTTCTCCAGAAAATTTGGAATTATGTCTTAACACAAAAAGTACAACAGACCAATTTATCATTAAGTTTTGTTGCCACTTGAGGAAAAGATGATCCTGTCAATTTAGGATGTACTACCTTTTGCGGGTTAGAATTAATACTTATTAGTTTGCATATTAGTGTCAGTATTGATATGTATGTGGTAATAGAAATTATCTTTTTTATTCATAACCTTAGAAGCAACTCATATAAGCATATATTAATATACTATACTAAAATGGTAATTAAAATTTTTTTTTGGAGTATAAATATTAAAAAATTCAATTCATTTAGATTGACAATGGAACGTTAATCTCCTCTTTGTAAAGAACCACTCTTGGAGATTTCGACATTTTATTTAACCTTAAATATTATTTTTTTGTAATAATAATTTTATAAGCAAGTTTTTTTTGCTTTAATTCCTTTCGAATTTTAAAAGTAAAGTTCGTTTAATATGCTTAACATGGAAAGCAGAATGGTAGAATTTAAAATAAAAACAATAAAACTGTGGTTTCTGAGGCGGGTATGTGTATATTATTATTTTCGGTGGCCCCTGTCACTTAATGAGCAAGACTTTTATGTTGTCTGATATGTCACGTTTATGTGTTAATAAGAAAACTTGACTCTTCTAAAGTATGAAAAGATGGTTGAGTCGAAATGGACTCGTCTCTTTATCATTACTTCCATTGTCCAGACTTTCATTACCATAATAATTCAGTCGCTTGTTGTTGGCCGAAACCAAAATGCCTCTTCATTTTTTCAAGAAATGTGGCAAACTGAATATGGAAATAGCCTTCCTAATCCTGCTGCTTCCGAATGCAAAGCAAATATTGTTGGACGTATGTACAATATTGTTGGAGAAAATATTATAATCCTACTTTCCAATGTATTTTTATTATTCTTTTGTTATGATGCGGTATGTTTTCATTCCAGTGTCATTATGTGTATCGTGACGTTATCGTGATTTTAACAAGTTTTATTCTATTTTTTTAGATTTTCAATCAAAATACAATACAAATAATAACTGTAGTAGTAGTAAACTATGCGATAGGAATAGTCGCTGCTGTATGTATTTATACATTAATAAATTATTACTTTCTACCATTTACTTTTTGCGAATTATTTATATGTAAAAAAATTTTTTTTTTAGATACAAATCGTAGAAATTCAGAGGTGGAGAAACCAAGCAGTTGATTGTGTACTTGGATTCTCAAATTTCAGCTTTAGGGTTGAATTATATGAAGTACCATCAATAGTAATACTACTACTATGTGCGACAATGATGGGATTTTTTACTTGGAAATTATATCAACAATTTGGATGGAATATTTACAAAAGAATTGGTGCTGATCGTAAAATGCAAAGTAATATCTCTTTATCAAAAATTTTTTTTTTTCTCGATTTGTTATTGACCATACCTTATTAATTAATTAATTATTATTATTTTATTATTATTATTATTATTATTATTATTATTATTATTATTATTTTCTTTCAGAAATTTTTAGGTCAATGTTAATTTTTGTCATGCATTTGAAACTGGATCTCTTCTTTATGGTGGTTTTGTCCATAGTGGCTTGTGTAGTACTTTCGCAAAATGACAAGCTCAAATCAACATTCTTATATTGGTTCCATGTGATTGTAACAGTTCTAATATTTATTTTACAAGCTCTCGCTTATCATATGGTAAGATTTAATATTTGTGTGCAAAGTTTGTTATTATTATTTGAGCAACTTATTAATTATGTTAAACATTGAAAAAAAAAAGTTAAGGGAGGAATCCCATTTAGGAATGAAAATATTTATTGGTTTATGGTTAATACCGATTGCCGACTTTATAGCTCTTCTCGTAAAATCAATTGGTACAAGCGCACAAGATAGTTGGTACTTTTTCATAATTTTTAGTAAGTTCTCTTTACAAATTTTCTCATTGTGTAATTTTCGAATTTCTAGAGTTCCAAATATTAATGATCCTTAATTATCTTTAATTATTATTCTGTTTCTTTAATATCTAGTTGTTTTTGGTATTATAATGGCATTGGTGAGCATAATATTATTTTTAATTTTTGTAGATTAAAACTTGTTTAATTTTTTATTCCTTTTGAATTTTATTTAATTAATGAAATATTATCTTTAAAATAGTTGACACTAATATGGTCAATAATAGTATTAAACAATTTTGACAAAGGATTGAAACGACATTGTAATTATCTCTCTTTTTAAATCTTTATTTTTGTTTTTAATTTCTGTTTACATAATACTGATAAAACAATACAACCAATTTTTTGCAGTAACGACCGGTATAGGTAATATAGAACGTCCGCCGGTTACGGAACAAACTTCACAGTCTCAACCTTCAGGTCGTTGGGCAATTGATGAAGAAGATTGATCAGACATACCTTTCAAATTTAATTTTACATCATTCATTCATCCAAAATTTCAATTCAAAAATTTACACACAAAATTATTCATTAAACATAATACCGTAAATACATTCTAACCTGAAAAATTACAATTTTAATCTTATCTGTAACTTTAAAGGTTAAAAACAAGAACTATTGTAATAAATATATTGTATATTAGTCTGTTTCATTTGTCTTTGATCGAATTGTGTATCAAAATTTCTCACGTGCATTTTGAAATATAAAAAATGAATTTGATCTACATAAAATTTACTTAAATATGAAAGGATTAGTTGATTACACTTCATCTTCGGATAATGATAGTGAAGAATCAGATCATGATATTAATCAAAGTAAAAAACGTGAGGAAAAGATTGAATAATTTGATCACTAAAATTTTAAAGAGTCATTACCTCATAAAACTCTTCTTGCCGAAAATCTTTTGCTACCTTGTTAACGTGTTCCAACAATGTCTTCAACTAAATTATACACATAATAAATACCAAGAATTCATTTGAATTATTAAACATTCTAAGATTCTAATATGAATTCTTATATACCTCATTAACTCCTCTACCAACTTCTAAAGCAAGAAAAGATCTAGTTTTTTCGTCATTAGTTAAATTACTAATTTCAGAAAATGATAAAGAAAATCTAATAAATAAAAAAAAAAAAAAAAAGTAAATTTAGAATTTATTTTTCTGAAATGATTTAAATAATTAATTTATGTTAGATCATTTTCATTTACCGTTTTTTATCCTCAAATCCTTTTCTTAAATTATCCCAAAATCTTTCAATTTGAAAATATTTCAAAAATAAAGGTCTAGATAAACTAATATGTAATGTTTCTGGTGTGTTAACGGGTTGTGTCACATCATTGCGAAGAAATTTAAATTTTGTTTCATCATCTATATCATCATAATTATTACTATTATTATTATAATAATAATAATCATCATCATCAATATATGAAATGATTTCTATATCATCATTCGCAGCATTCTGCGCTCAGATTTTCATTTTCCGAAGTAATGACTTGAAATCCTCGGGGATAACGACTGTAAATAATGAATGTAAATAATTATGATTTTATAACCTTTATAACTTTTATTAAAAATTAGTCATTTATCGATATTAATAATAATTTTATACCTTCCATATATACATGCGTTGCCCAATTACCTTCAACATGTGGTTTGGTTCGTATTCGCCCTTGATGACTTGAT